TGCTTAAATACCTGCTTATATACTTTCTTATATACCTGTTTATATACTTGCTTATATACTTACTTATTTACTTGCTTATACACTTACTTATATACTTGCTTATATACTTGCTTATATACTTACCTATACTTGATAATATACTTGCTTATATTCTTTATATATTTACCTATATACATGCTTAGATACTTGGTTATATACTTGCTTATTTACTTGCTTATATACATGCTTATTTTCTTTCTTTTTTACTTTATTATATACTTACTTATATACTTACTTATATACTTGATTATATGATTGCTTATATAATTATTTATATACTTGCTTATATACTTGCTTATACACTTACTTATATACTTACTTATATACTTATATACCTGCTTATATACTTACTTATATACATTCTTATATATTGCTTATACACTTACTTATATACTTGCTTATATACTTGCTTATATACTTACTTATATACTTACTTATATACCTGCTTATATACTTTCTTATTTACTTGTTTATATATATAGTTTATATATACTTACTTATATACTTGCTAATATACTTGCTTATTTAAATGCTTATATACTTGTAAATGCTTATACACTTGCTTATTTACTTTCTTATATACTTGCTTATAACCTGGCTTATAAACTTACTTATATACTTGCTTATATACTTGCCTATATACTTACTTATTTACTTACTTATTTACATGCCTATATACTTGCTTATATACGTGCTTATATACTTGCTTATATACTTGCTCATATACTTGCTTATATACTTTCTAATTTACTTGATTATATACATGCTTATATAATTTTCTTATTAACTTACTTATAATATATACTTACTAATGTACTTGCATATATACTTGCTTATGTACTTGCTTATATACTTGCTTATACACTTCCTTATAAATTTGCTTATATACTTACTTATAAACTTGCTTATATACTTGCTTATATACTTACTTATATACTTACTTATATACTTGCTTATATACTTGCTTATATACTTGCTTATTTACTTGCTTATTTTCTTGCTTATATACTTGCTTATATATTTGCTTATATACTTACTTATATACTTGTTTATATACTTGCTTATATACTTGCTTATATTATTATTTATAAACATATTAATATACTTGCCTGTATACTTGCTTATATACTTGCTTATTTTCTTGCTTATATACTTGCTTATATACTTGCTTATATACTTACTAATATACTTGCTTATATACTTCCTTATATACTTACCTACATACATGCTTATATACTTGCTATTATACTTGCTTATTTACTTGCTCATTTTCTTGCTAATATACTTGCTTATTAACTTTGTCATATACTTGCTTAAATACTTGCTCATATACTTAATTAACTTTTTTAACTTAATTAACTTGCTTATATACTTGCTTATGTACTTCCTTATATACTTACCTATAAACATGCTTATATACTTGCTTATTTACTTGCTTATTTACTTGCTTATTTTCTTGCGTATATATGTGCTTATTTGCTTTCTTATATACTTGCTTATTTTCTTGCTTATATACTTGTTTATTTACTTTCTTATATACTTGCTTAGATACTTACTTATATACTTGTTTATATACTTGCTTATATACTTGCTTATATAATTACTTATAAACATATTAATATACTTGCTTATATACTTGCCTTCTTACTTGCTTATATAATTGCTTATATAGTTACTTATATACATGCTTATATACTTGCTTATTTACTTTCTTATATACTTTTTTATATACTAGCTTATATACTTGCTTATATAATCACTTATTAACATATTAATATACTTGCTTATATGCATGCTTATTTACTTGCTTATTTTCTTGCTTATTTTCTTGCTTATATACTTGCTTATATACCTGCTTATATACTTCCTTATATAATTGCTTATATACTTCCTTATATACTTACCTATATACATGCTTATATACTTGCCTATTTACTTGCCTTTTTCTTGCTAATATACTTGCCTATTTACTTTTGCGTATACCTGCTTATATACTTCCTTATATACTTACCTATAAACGTGCTTATATACTTGTTTAATTACTTGCTTATTTACTTGCTTGTTTTCTTGCATATATACTTGCTTATTTACTTTCTTATATACTTGCTTATATACTTGCTAATATAATTGCTTATATACTTGCTTATATACTTGCTTATATACTTCCTTATATACTTACCTATATACATGCTTACATACATGCTTATATACTTGCTTATTTAGTTGCTTATTTTCTCGTTTATATGTTTCCTATTTACTTTCTCATATACTTGCTTATATACTTGCTATATACTTGCTCATATACTTATTTATATACTTGCTTATATACTTAATTATATACTTGTTTATATACTTGCTTATCTACTTGCTTATATACTTGCTTATTTACTTTCTTATTTACTTGCTTTACTTACTATAGTAAGTATATACTTACTTATATACTTGCTTATGTACTTGCTTATATACTTGCTAATATACTTGCTTATTTGCATTCTTATATACTTGCTTATATATTTGCTTATATACCCACTTATAAACTTGCTTGTATCCTTGCTTATTTACTTGCTTATTTTCTTGCTTATATACTTGCTGATTTATTTTCTTATATACTTGCTTATATACTAACTTATATACTTGCTTATATAATTACTTAATACATACAAAATATACCTGTTTTTTTACTTGCTTAGATACTTGCTTAAATACTTACTTATATACTTGCTTATATACTTGCTTATTTACTTGTTTATGTACTTGCTTATATACTTACTTATACACATGCTTATATACTTGCTTATTTTCTTGCTTATATACTTGCTTATTTACTTTCTTATATACTAGCTTATATACTTGCTTATTTACTTACTTACATACTTGTTTATATACTTGCTTATATAATTACTTATAAACATATTAGTATACTTGCTTATATACTTGCTTATTTACTTGCTTATTTTCTTGCTTATATACATGCTTATATTCTTTCTTATTTACTTTCTTATATACTTGCTTATGTACTTACTAATATATACTTACTAATGTACTTGCTTATATACTTTCTTATATACTTGCTTATATACTTACTTATATACATGCTTATATACTTGCTTATTTTATTGCTTATATACTTGCTTATTTACTTTCTTATATACTTGCTTATATACTTACTTTAATACTTGTTAATATACTAGCTTATATAATTACTTATAAACATATTAATATACTTGCTTATATACGTGCTTATTTTCTTGCTTATATACTTGCTTATATACTTGCTTATTTACTTGCTTATATACTTGCTTTTATACTTGCTTATATACTTACTTATATACATGCTTATATGTTTGCTTATATAATTACTTATATACTTGCTTATACACTTACTTATATACTTGTTTATATACTTGCTTATATACTTTCTTATATACTTGCATATATACTTCTTTATATACTTACCTATATACATGCTTAGATACTTGCTTATAGACTTGCTCATATACTAACTTATATACTTGCTTATATACTTACTTATATACTTGCTTATATACTTGCTTATTTACTTGTTTATTTTCTTGCTTATATCCTTGCTTATTTACTTGCTTATATACATGCTTATTTACTTTACTATTTACTTTATTATATACTTATATACTTACTTATATACTTGCTAATATACTTGCTTATTTAAATGCTTATATACTTGCTTATATACTTGCTTATTTACTTTCTTATATACTTGCTTATATACTTGCTTATATACTTACTTATATACTTGCTTATTTACTTGCTTATTTTCTTGCTTATGTACTTGCTTATTTACTTACTTATTTACGTGCTTATATACTTGATTATATACTTGCTCATATACTTACCTATATATTTGCTTATATACCTGCTTACATACGTACTTCGGTTCGAAAAAACTCTCTGTGTTTATTTTTCTTCTTCTCTGGGGAAGAAGAAAAAATAAACCTAGCGCGTTAAAAAAAATTAACAATATAAAATTTCGTACAATTCGTATGAAAACATTTAATAACAGCATGGTAGCAATTGCCTCACTGCCAGGGGATATTATCAATCATACTCTTTCATATACTGCTTTGTTTACCTTTGCCCATTGATTTATATATCTAAGGTTAAACATCCGTATCAAGTAACGAATATAATGCCTTACAGCCAATACTCGCATTTTACTGGATGTGAGATTACCAATCACGCAAGCATTGCTGCTTGGCTGCAAAAATAGGTAAGGTGATGGTACCTACCAAGACGGCCTCCTATAATCATCATTACTAATTATTAATGAATAAAATAATGGACATCTACATATATCCTCGATTACGAATCAATGTGCAGATGCGTTGCCACCCGTGAGGACTAAACCCTGTAATAAGGGGGAGACGTGGTCCTTCCCCGGTCGGGCCGTACTACAACTATACTACTAATAAAATTCAGCACGGCTACGCATAAAAACATTGCAGTAATATATAATATATTAAATCGTTAAGTAATAAATAATTCAATTTGAAATGAAATCTGAGAGTACAGATTTTTCTTTAAGTTTCTTGATACTGGTGTAGATTTAATTCTGCGCAGTTAGGGTATCCTGGTTAAATGATATTCCAATAATTTAAATTATTTTAATTTTTTTGTAAGAAAGCAGCCTATACAAATGAACGGAAGTACGCATAAGCCACCTCAACACCAAAATGTTTTGCCTGTATTGGAATATTTATCAAAACAGATATCATTAAAAATATTATTTTACATATAGTGCAAAAACGCTACTGTCCATAAAATATTAAATTACAAGAACGCCATTGTCCATATCAGCCAATCACAAGGCGCTAACATTTCGATAAACAATATGGCCGCTGATGAGTTTTGTATGACAAATCGCTGCTGTATTTTATTGAGTTTATAGCTTAATTAATTGGAAAAACGTTTACAAAATGGAGAAAATGTTCAAGAGTGTTTACCAGAAAAGGCAAGAAAACGGAGAAGAGCACCTGGAAACGTTCGAAAGCAAAGGAAGAAAGGTAAGCGTGTTTGCACCGTTAGATCAAAAATCGTATTTGAATATTTTTTGTCGTTATGATTCGATATTATTATGTTGTCAAATTTAGTGTACTTACTTGTAGATACAAAATAATAGTTTCAGTGGTTGTATTTTAATATTTTATTTAACTTTTTACGCGGTAATATATCCTAATATAACTAATATCCTAATATAAATAACTAATATTATAAATGCGAAAGTTTGTGAGGATGTATGCATGTGTATGTGTATGTAGGTATGTTTGTTACTCTTTCAAGCAAAAACCACTGAATGGCTTTGGCTAAAATTTGGTACACAGTTCAAAAACAGCAATTTCCCTCATGTTTACGGGTACAGCAGATGGTGATTTGTTACCAATATATGTGGTATATAAAGCGGATCATCTATGGGATATGTGGTTAGAGGGTGGACCTGAAGGAACGAGATATAATCGATCAAAAAGTGGGTGGTTCGATGCAGTCTGTTTTGAAGACTGGTTTAATACCATTATAGTACCTTACGTACGAAATAAAGTCGGGCGGAAAGTTTTAATTGGAGACAATCTTTCGTCACATTTTTCGGAAAACGTTCTGAAGACTTGTGAACAATTGAATATTGCATTTGTATGCTTACCACCGAAAACTACACACCTGCTTCAGCCATTAGATGTTTGCATTGTTTGCTCCGCTGAAGACCTACTGGCGAGATGTGTTAACTCATTGGAAGTCAAAGGAAGGGCGGAAACATAAAACTTTGATCAAAAGTTCATTTCCGAAATTATTAGGTCAACTAAAAAACAAATTGGTTGAAAGAGGTGCTGTATCACGTAACCTCGTAGCAGGTTTTAACAAATCTGGTTTATACCCAATCAACCCTGAACTTCCTAAATCACGGCTGCCACAAAGGACAGTTGTTACGGATGAACAAATAAATAACAGTGCATTATTAGCAGTAACAGAAATTTTGCAAGAAATAAGGAATCCTCCAGCCCCTGCCAAAATAAGACGAAAAAAAAAAGTGTAATGTACAGCCTGGGAAAAGTATAACAGCAGCGGACTTGATTTATAGTGAACTTCATACAACTACGAAGTCAAATAAAAAAAAATTCAAGGGGAAATATACGTCGGGTGGGAAAAAAGAAATAAAATCTAGGAAATCTGGAATAACTGCTTCAGATGAAGAAGGAAATAAAGACTACAAACAAAATGAAATGGATACTCGTCAAACTATAAACAAGACTGGAGAATGTAAAGATGTTGAACTTTTACTACATGAACAAACTGAAATTTCAGAAAAACAAGAAACAAAATCATTACACACAGCTAAAGAAAACGAAATTTGTGATCAAAATGTATTGAAACAAAAAGATTTGGACTTAATTATAGAGTATACTGAAGAAAAATTTAATAAATTCGATTTAAGCAAAACAAGTTTAAGAAACGACGACAGACAACAACTTGAATGGACTATTCAGAAAAATATACTGAACGAAAAGACAGGATTTATGCAAACATTTATAACTACCAGTGCCGTTATAGAAAAACAGAAGTCTCCCGTTTTGACTGAAAAATCAAAATTGAGACCAAAAGTTCATAACGATATTGAACGAGAAAATATTGAAGTTGACTATAATGATATTAACTCTGGTTCTAAGGAAAATATTGAGTATTTCTCAGGCAACGAAACCATAGGCATGGTTCAAAAACTGAAATGTAAGAAAGAATGATGAGAGGGAAGCCGAAATATTTAATGAAATTATGCGTATGGATTCAGAGAATGAAACAGATACAAAAATCCAAGATAAAAAACAGACATTGAGGTGAACTTAAATGAATATGGATATTCAGAAACCCAGAAGAGAATTGAAGTAACAGATAAGGACAATTACAGACTGATGAAGAATTATATACTGAAAATAAAGACATACCTAACTGCTTGAAAAAAAATATTGAAAAAAGAGAGTGGAACATAGGAGATAATGTTCTAGTTAGATATTATCAAAAAAATGGCAATATTACATCGGTTTAATTACTGATATTAATCACCAAATTGAAAAAAAAAATACAAAACATTCTTCTTCAAAGCCATTTCTAAAAAAGGTGATGTCATATTTAAAAAACCAAAACGTTCAGATTTTTTCGAAAAATTGAAAAGTAAGTGCCAAATATACTTCGAAATCGGGAAGGCCCATTTTAGCGGTTGGGTCAAAAATGTGTTATTTTTACAATTCTCATAAATTTTTAGTGTAAAATGTAACTAAAAAATAGTTTTATAACGTATATCAAATAACTTGACGTTGTACTTATTTCAAATTCACACAAAAATATATTTGAAATTTTATTCGGAATTCTCATACAGATAAAAATTAATTTCGTTTTTTTTATTTTTTTATTTTTATATTTTGATATGAGTAACGAATAGAAACACATAAAACATAAAAATATACATATTTCTAAACATTTTCATATAGGTTTCTCCAAAAACAACCATGTAGAATTCAAATTAGTAGTAATTTTAGTAGTTGTAGTAAATAAAGGGTAATTTATGAATTTTATTACAATTTATAGCAACTAAAATTAGTTTTATTCGATAGTTTATACATTCAATAGGAATTCCTGTAAGTTTTATCCATAAATATTGTCTCAAAGTGAAAATATAGCAAAATTTGCAAGATAGCAAAAAATTTGCTTTTCCCGCCATTTTATGTCGCGAGCCAACGGGCGAATCGACTAAATTCGCCTTCCGAACATAGTCGAGCGAACAGGTTAACCTCAACATCATCTCATCAGTTAGTGTGGGATAATGCTACGCCAATTTTGAAAACAATGAAGTTTGTGTCTGCAAGCACAGGCACATCTGCTAGTGTTCCATCTATTAGGAACTGGTTACACACCATTGAGAATATTAAATATTTGAAAACAAAATTATTCAAAGAACATAATTTGAAGTCGTTATGGTTACGCCATTTTAACCAAGACCCACTTGAGAATTGTTGTGGCTCTATAAAGAACTATGGGGCAAGGAATGTCAATCCAACATTAGCAGGTTTTGAGATTGCATTTGCCTCATTGTTAGTAAATAATTAAAATAACTCGCATTCACCAGGGGCCAATTGTGATAAAGATTCCTGCCAACCATTGAAGTCATTGTACAAGTTATTTTTTCGTAAAAAAAAAACTCTAACCAATAATGTTACAACAGAAGTAAATATTGATCATATTAATAGTCACGAGATCTTGACTGATATACATATTAAGCTAAGTAATCCTAAAATCAAGGCACAATTAGAATATATTAGTGGATATGTACTAAGAAAATTAAAAAAATCATTTTTAAAATGTAAAACATGCTTAACAAATTTGTGTGATGAAAAAAGGTCCAGCGAGTACATTGGATTAAAAGATTATTCCAAAGAACAAAAGAGCTTGACACATCCATCTCAAGAATTCGTACATTTATTTTCGTCCATTCAAGATGTCGTGACTTATATTTTAAGGACTAATAGTAATTTAGATAACATTAAAAATTATTTTAAAACAATTATGTGTATAGTTTGCGAATTCAATTTCCTAACTTGTGCGATGCATAAAAAATGATATTATAGAAGATATATTAGATATTACTTGCAGGTTCTTTCTACATAGTTGGGCCAATAATATAAATAAAATATTAAAAGGAGCAAGAATTGATGTTGATAAAGATGATAAAATGCAATCTCAAGCCTTTAATTATTGCTTAAAAAGAAAAAATAAACTTTTAAACAAATAAATATATGTGGTTTTATTGAAGTTTCAATTTTTTTTCATGCTAAATCTATTACATAATGTTTTAAGCTCAATTCAGACTTTAAACATTGTGTAAATAATGAAATAAAATAAATATTAAAAAGTAAACCTATACATCCATGTTATGAAACGTAGTTATATATATATATATATATATATATATATATATATATATATATATATATATATATATATATATGTATGTATGTATGTATATACATACATACATATATATTCAATATTTTTTTAGTTCGGACACAGAACTGTAGTAGGCGCTGGAGTCGCATTACTTAACTGCCAACTCTATTTCTGATTATTCAAAGTACTCTGTTCTCGGGCGTATGACATGCGGTACGGCAGGCGCCATGAAGCCTGCATGCGGCGACGCGAGCGCGACGTTGCCGCTCCGTCGACAGAGTTACATAGTTTTGTATGTAAGCTGCAAGCAGGCGTACACCAAGCGTATAATGACGAATACGCGTCTACGAAGCTACGCCGCCATGGACAGTAGGCCTTAACTGTAAATATGCAATATCGTTATTTTAACAGACTCAAGGAGTGCGCTTCAACACTTTGCTCGGTGTACTTCGGTTTTACGAGGCTTACCAGTAGCATATACGATTTTAAAGCTTCTAGTTAAGTTACAGGCTGACTCCAGAATAGTATATTTACAATGGATACCTTCGCACATTGGCTTAGAGGGTAATGAAAAAGCTGATATTTTAGCCAAACAAGCTATTTCGGAGGGCACTGACATTTCATTTCAAAATTATATGCCTTTATTAAAAAAAATTGTTATGACCTTTGGAAGGAATATTTTGACGAAAGAGCAAAAGAAAAGGGTATATGGTACCGTACGATCCAGCCGTACCCAATGCGCTCAACCTGGATAGATAACGGAATATTGTGTAGACCCGATACTGTAATACCATTAAGACTCAGATCTGGGCACATTCCATGCAATAAATTTTTATACCTGATGCGAAAAACTACCTCACCAAACTGTTTAACTTGCAATGTTATCGATGATGCTTATCTCATTTTGGTAGAATGTGCCCAGAATTTCATAGAAAGAAAAAATTGTATTTTACATTTGTCATTGGATGGCAGTATTAATAGTATTTTATCAGACCCGTTATCAGATGATGCCAAAAAACTTTGTGTTAGTAAATAAGAGATTAAATAATTAATAAGTTTATTTGTTAGTATTTATCCTATTTAAGAATTTTGTTGTACCAGGGCGTCATAATCGCTTCAGCGACAAAGCCCTTTTTCTGAGAATAAAAAAAAACTGTAAATATGACCTATTTTCTGAAGATGAAATAGAATACATAAAATACAGAGAATATGCAGGTAGAAGATGGCTTTGTATTCCTTGCAATGATTTGATTCAATCAATTTCAGTTATGCAAGATATAATCAATCATATTTCAAAGGACAGTTTTGAAAATGATCAGTTAAAAGAAATTATAAAAACAAGCATATTATATACTTTAATTGGTTTTGATATTATGAAATGTAATCTGCATAAAAATAAATTAGTTGATTATTTGATTAACATTGCGATGCGTTGTCTAATTTTTAATGGTTTTAAAAATGTTAATAGAATATTAGGTGGCAGAAAAGAAGTAGATGATGATGAGAACTACAATACTACAATTACGACTGACCCATATTTCATTCAGATCGACCCTTTTATACCCTTTTTAGGTGGTGTAACTAGCGTCCTTACTAACGAGCATTTGACAGTGTTTATTTTTGACGCTCTATAATGATAAATGTTTTAATGATTTCATGATTTTTTTATTAATAATGTAAAGCTATTCAAATACCCATTTCAAACATACCAATATTTATATAAATATAATTCGTTTCTAGCCATTTTTCGCGCAAACTCAGAGAGGTGCGATTTTTGTGACGCCGAGTGTATTTTAAAATTAATCTTTAGAGCGCCAAAGTCGCCTATACTTGACAAGCACCTGCGAGCTCTGAGCGCCAACGACGTCTATAGTTGACAAAAAACCCGGCCCACAAAAATATGAAATATAGATATTGGAAAGTAATTACTGGTATTTTAATTCTACACTCCTCAAAGAAGAATAACCCAGCAACATGTGAGTATAAAAAACAAGTCTCCTAGAGCCACGAGTACTAAGAAACATTGAACTAAAAAAAATGGATTTTTATCAAAGCAAATACCATGTCCAGCATGCCAGTCGTCTATGTTTGACCGCTAGTGTTGTAATGTGTTAGGCATAGATCTATTGAAAACTATTCAAAACTAAACGCAAACGTGTTATTTTTTTTTAATTATTTTTGATATTTGAATAAAACAAAAGCTAAGAAACAAAACTATCATCAGCTATATAAATAAAAGAAAATTTTATTAAATAAACTTCGCATAATAAATCTAATATCTCAACTATTACTAGCGCGACATCGATTATCAGTTCATTGGGCGCCGTGGTCAGATGATGGATGTGGATAGATGACACCCTGATGACGTCATAAACGAATAGCGGAAAAAGTAGTGCAGTGCAACATGAACGTTCCTCAGAACTCATTCGCATTTTGGAAAGCGATGATTTTTTTTTATTTTAATAATATAAAATTACAAATAATTAACGTTTATTTTTTTCTTAAGATATGACGAGCAATTTTACATGTTGTGTTGTACGATTTTTTTTCCGAATATAGGGTATTGACTGAAACCTCTATTATATTTGCTGATGACATTTCCATTATTATTCCGCATACAAAAGACTAGAATGTAATAACAAATTGAATCATGTATTGAACCAGGTTACAAATTGGCTGACACATCACAACCCAGAGATTAATTTTAATAAAACCAAAATTATGCAATTCCCACCAGTTCAAAAATCACCACTAATTAATATCGCTTTTACTTATAATAATATACCTATAGGACTGTTGACAACTTCAACTTGTTAGGCCTAGAAATCGACTGCCATATAAACTGGAAAGCCCATATAAATAAAGTAAAAAATAGGCTATCAAAATTCACTTACGTATTATAAGAAATAAAGAAAACCACAGATGTCCCCAGCGCTCCGTCAGCATATTACGCATACACATCTTCGTAGCTGTCATACGGTGTCATGTTGTGGGGAAATAGTAAAGATGCACAGCAATTATTTATAATGCAAAAAATTATAAGAATCTTGGCAAACATAAAAATTCCAGAAAGTTGTAAGCGCCACTTCAAAAAATTTAAAATTTTAACTTTGACGTCTATTTATATTTGGGAAACATGCAAATTTGTAAAAAAACCACCCAGAACTATTTACCAAATTAAGTGAAACAAATTACAAACACTATATTGCCGAAATCTAAATCGAAATCTTGCTTTGCATAGCTCTAGTCCCTACTGTATTGCGGTAAAAATTTTAATAACCTTCCAAATGACATAATAAATCTAAGGAGTGCTACATTATTTTTATCCAAATTAAAGTTATATTTAATTGAAGAATGTTTCTATAATTTAAGTGAATATTTTGGTACGTATGTTATTTAATTTGTGTGGACAACTTCGGCCTGTGCCTATCTAATTTAATTTTTTTATTCAATTATTATTTTTTACTTATTTATATTTATAATAACAATAATTATTTTTTACTTGACATTGTGATTATTAATTTAATTACATTTACAAGATTTTAAAATAATATAATCTAATCATGTAATTTATTAATGAAATCTTGTAGTTTTAAAATAATATTTAATATTTTTATAATTGCTACGCCCAAACTGGGTTCAAATATAGACTATTTTTTAAAAAAATTCCAAATTCTTTTGTTACCATTTGATTGCAATAAATATTATGATTATGTTTATCTCAAAATCATGTAGTATCGCCAGCATCATATCAAACCCCCATTGTCATAAGAGCGTAAGACTTTCTTCTGTGCTTCACTTGGCCATCGCCTCCCCCGACACATAAAATATTTTGAATCGATCTCTGTATATTTTGGTTAGATCGATTCCGATATCGATACACAACGTGCGACACGGCTACATCTTTAAAAAAGTTTCAAAAAGGAAGGTCAGCTACGCCGTTGTCGTCCAGTCGTGACAGTGACGTCATCACGATGAAGAGTAGTGTTGTGGTTTACTACTATTTTGTTATTGTTTATTTTCATTTATCTACAAAGTACATATATAAAAAGAGTGGAAGACAGTACAAGATTAAATAAAACATACCAGATTATAAAGAGTCATTTATTGCATAAAAACCAACAAAATCAAGTTATTTTGTGTTATCGATGTATCAACCCTTGGTAACACTATTTTTTTCGTAGGTATTTTTGTTTACTTTTCGCTTTGGTGTACAGGACACGGTAATGCGTTTTTGGCGTGGCGCTCAAAAGGTTAAAGCCCAAAGGTTAAGAAGTAAACTTTTTAAAAGAAAGAAATAATTACTCTTGTTGCTACCAAAATGAGTTTATAATATTTAATTACTGTTACAAATTTTATATATTCATGCGTTCTAAACTAATTTATAAATGATAGTAATAATAAATACGCTTAAATTGAACCACCAAATTATAAAAGTAAGATTAATGGATCTTATTTTTTTATACAGATGTATTTTTATAATTAGCAGATATGTCGTTATTAAATAGGTAGTTATACTTTATGAGTCTATAAAATGCATTATTACAGTTTTCATCAAATAATTTATTTTTAAACACAAAGTATATTGCTAAAGATTGGTGATACCATAGAATACTATAATTCAAAATATAATGGCTGTCAAATTTATTTTGTACGAGAAAGGGCGTCGCTAAACCCGATTCGCTATGTGGACAGACTGAATCTCATTAAAAAAATCGTTTAACACATAGGGTAAAAGCGGGTAATGGCGGTCAGATGGTAATACCGGTCAGCACACTTCCAATTATGTTACGATGTTTATAAGCACGCACACATACAAAGCGGGTGGCGTAACTATTCTCCTCGCAGGAGCGCCAAACCCCGTTCAATTCCGTGCATGCGTTTGGGAAGAAGGCACGTCGAAAGTTTTCGTGCCACTTTGTTGTAAAATTTTGCAGTCCGAAAATAAGAAGTAAATTTTACTCGATAGTTTTCAAATGTAAAGTTAATAAAAGAATTGCCTAACTATTTGTGCGCAATCGCCAAATCAATCTTTGTTGATTAGCCTGCAGATTTTTAAATAAATTTTAAATATTTATAATGTCAATCATCGGGTAATACCGGTCATGGCTGACCGGCATTACCCACACACCCACATCAATTTATTTGTAAAGTTTTCAATTTAAATAGTCAGTGTCATTAAAACTTTTAGTATTTTATTGTTTCAGGGTAATTGCAAAATGCTGCCAAAACATGTAAAAGCGCGCATAAAGGCGAAATGGAGCAAAAAATCATTGGAAGCTGCTTTTAAACTAGTTGAAGATGGAAACCTGATAAGAGAAGCCGCTCGATGTACAGGCATTCCATTTTCTTCATTATAAGAGGCTGAAAAAGAAAAATTTGGATACTCCACAACTGGTAAGAAATACTACCTTTACCAAAGAACAAGAAGAAAGTATGGCGTCTCAAATTAGACTGCTTGGAAATATATTTTACGGGTGTACTGTTATAGAAATAAGGAAGATGGCTTTTAAGTACGCAGAAATAAATAAAATTAAGCACAACTTCAACAAAACTTCAGAATCAGCTGGTAGAGATTGCCTTGAGGGGTTTTTAAAACGAAATAACTTATCAGAGCGTAAGACTGAAGGCATAAGCTTAAATAGAGCTTCTGCTTTTAACAGAGATGAAGTAGGAAGATTTTTTTGACTTGCTGGGAAACTTGATGCAAAAAATATAAGTTTCCACCTCGAAACATATATAATGTGGATGAAACTGGCGTAACATCGGTGTGAAAAATCATACGAATTGGTGTAGCAACGTAGTGTAGGAACGAGCTCTGAGCCTACGAAAAGGGACAAAGTATATACCACAAAGAGTTTATACATGGACCCAGATAAGAAAGCTAAACTATTTATCGTACATTCGTACAATTTCGAAAACTCTAATGGTGAAGAACATCTCATTAGATTGTGCCGGTGGACTAGCGAGGCAGACGAAGACGGAGTTAACCGTCTAGTGTTCGTCTCGAGGTCCGAACCCCACGTGCCGCTCTATCGCATGCGTCTTCACGTAGTGAATGACGCATTAGACATCAAGCTATCTACAATCGCCCACGGAGGGGCAAGGATCGCTTACACGACCTATAACGGCCATGAGAACGTGGTGGTTACCAGAGTGGCTAGAGGCACGTTTAACGACGCTGAGCTGCGGACCTCAGGCGGTCGTGGTGAATTAGTCAAAGGGGTGAGCGTGTTCGGCTTACAACTAACAGATCGTAAGAAAAAGAGCGCCAATAAGGCGCCTCGCGATAAAAAAAGAGTTTTGAAGTGATAATAGCCTAATACGTGCAATAGTAGTGCATAGTTGGTGTTAATATAAACTTTATACTGATATCTGTTGGGAAGAACCTAAATTAAACAAAAATAACATATCATTCAAAGTAAAATATAAAAACTAGTACAAAACAATAAGACACAATTATACATTTATTTGAGGGTGTGTGATAAGCTAACTCTAATTTTATGAAACTGAAAACAATAAAATCGGTTAATTATCAATGTGAAAATCAATTCAATTTATATGTTATGTGGTTATGTTATCCTATTATTGAAAATTTTGTGCTCGTCTATTAAACTATAAAGAGATTACATGTGAGTACCCACTTACAAAGATATGTAAAGTGTGGTATTACGATTAACATTTTCGCATCTGAAAAACATAGCTAAATAGCTCAACGGGCAACTCCTTGACTACGAAGGCGAAAGTCGTTGGTTCGAGCCTCAGATTGATAAAGTTTTTTTCTTTTTTTTTTAAGTTTTTTATTTGAATTTGCAGTTCATCATAGCACTTTAAATATAAATTTGGGAAAATTAAACATAATAAATCATAATTTAATAAGTCTAAAAATATGTCAAAGATACAGCTGAACTGTTGCAACGAAGCGAAAGACGATGAAGATTGCATGTGTTGTGCGAAATGTAAACACGGATGTTTGAAGTCGACCGGGCAGTTCAGCACAAATACAGAATCCACAACTGAGTGGATGTGCCCTGCCTGCACGTCAAGAAGGCCGAAAGGTAACAGCGAAAACACACCCGTGCGTAATAAAGACATGATAGTTGGCAGCCAACAGAATGTCACGAAAAGAACGATTAAAAGAGTTGCTGTTTCGTCACTAAACACAGAAAAATCCTCTCAGCTAAATGATATACGGGAGATGGTGAGCGAAACAGTAAGGGCCGAAATGAAAGAAATGCTGACGCAGATGAGAACTTCTATAAAAAGCGTACTAAATAGTGAATTAAAAGTAATAAGGGAGGAGATCATAGACTTGAAAAACTCCATAAATTTTATAAACGGCCAATACGAGGATTTCTCGAAAGAACACTGTGCAAATCTTACAACTGTGAAGGATCTTAAAGAAAATAATACTAAATTAGAGGCGACTATAAACGCCCTTAACACACGGGTAAATGAGCTCGAACAGCGAACTAGATACAATAACTTGGAATTGGAATGTGTTCCTGAAAGTAAAAACGAAAATCTGATCAAAATCGTGGAACAGTTGGGCAGTGTCATAGGGTTAGATATAACCACCGACAAAATTACGAATGTTACGCGAGTTGCTAAGGTAAATCGTCAAGGTACTCGACCAAGATCTATCATAGTACAATTTAATTCTCCGCTAACCAGGGACAGTGTTATGGCTGCGGTGATAAAATATAATAAAAGCAACCCTAGAGATAAATTGAATACGTCACACATTGGAATCGGGCTAAGTGAAGCAAAACAACCCATTTATATCATGGAACATCTGTCACCTGGGAATAAAGCTCTACATGCCGACTTAAAGCTAAAGAAAAAGGTTACAAATATGTTTGGGTTCGAAATGGTCGTATACTGATACGAAAGGATGATAATTCTGATTATAAAGTAGTTAAAAATATGGACTTTCTTAGTAACTTAAGTTAAAATGTAAGGTTGAGGTCACGCCATGGTGTCATAATGCTTAAAAGGCGCGTCGATTAATATGTTATACCAAAATGTTCGCGGACTTAGAACCAAAACCCAAGATGTTTACCGTAACATAATAATTAATAATTATGACATTATTATTTTGACTGAAACCTGATTAAATAGCTCAATCTCAAGTGGTGAACTATTTGATATACGTTATAACGTGTATCAAAGAGACAGAGAGACTGCAAAACTTAGTACTAAGTCTGACGGTGGGGGCGTTCTAATTGCTGTCAAAAAAAAAACATAATTTCAAATAGAATTAGCCTATGGGAAAGCGATTGTAAACATTTGTGGGTGGTAGTAGATGTGCCCCACTTTAACAACATACGCCATGTAACTTTTTGTTGTATATAATATATATTTCACCTCCAGTAAATAAGAACATATTGGATATTTTTTTAAATAATTGTAATAGAGTTTCGGAGCAACACAATATGTTAACATGGCGACTTTAATCTTAGCTGTAATGTATCCTCAAACCCTGCTAACTGTAACTTTCCCCCAGCAGCACAGAGTTTATTGGATTTCATAACGGAAAATGGCTTGCGCCAATGTAAGTCTATTCTTAATAATAGGCAAAAGATACTATATATTGTACTCGTAGACTTACCTGTATGTTCCGTTAGTCACTCTTATAATCCAATCAGTAATATTGACCCAATGCATCCTCCCCTTGAAATAAACATACCTAATGTGAAACAAAATATACTTATGATTAATACTTCACACGAGCGATACAATTTTTATAAAGCCGATTATAATTCCGATTATAATTCATAATAAATGAGTACTTGAAGGGAATCGACTGGCATATATTATTGGACCTGGATGATATAGATGAAATGGTTAGACTATTCTACGAAAGTATACAAATTGCTACCACAGATTATGTTCTCTTAAAAAAAAGCTAAGAGTAATAGGTACCCTTCATGGATCAATTACAATGTTGCAAAAAGAATTAAAGAAAAGCACAAAATGCTAAAACGATTTAAAAAATATAATAATCCAATGGATGAAATAGAACTAACAGTGCTTAGTGATCGTTGTAATAGAATCTCGCGTGATGCCTACAACAATTATAACGAAAACCTGGAAAAGCAAATTCAGAGGAATCCGAAAGCATTTTGGCCGTTCCTAAAGAGTAAACGCAATAATTCTAACTCGTATCCAGCTGCTATGAATAACGGAGTTAAAACTTCTACTAGTGGAGTTGAAATATGCAATATGTTCTCTAGTTATTTTGCTTCGGTATATGATGACTCAAATAGTTCCTGTGATTTAGATCCGTCATCTCATTTACGAAAAATCCTCTATTTAGGCTTTAGTGAAAATCTAGCAGGTATAGAAATAAATCAGAACGAAATCTTCAAAAAGCTGAAGGGTCTCGATATTAGCAAAGGTGCAGGACCGGACAATTTACCACCGATATTTATGTATAAAAAATAGCATAACTGGCCTAACTTTGCCTTTATATCTTATCTTTAAAGCCTCGCTGTGTTCGGGTACTTTTCCAGCTTTATGGAAAAAAGCAAAAGTAGTTCCAATATTCAAGAGTGATGATGAGAAAGATATACGCAACTATAGGCCCATATCAATTCTCTCGAATTTTGCAAAAGTGTTCGAATTTTTAGTTTGTCCAATAATTAAAATGCATTTCAAACGTTTCTTTTCTGAGCATCAACATGGATTTTTGCCAGGTAAGTCTACCACCACTAATTTAGTTAGTTTCACTTCCTCATTATCAGAAGCTATTGACTCGCAGAAGCAGGTGGATACCATATATACGGATTTTAAAAAGGCATTTGATAAAGTTCCACACGGAATACTTATTGAAAAATTATCGTATTATGGGTTTTCAGGCCCGGTGCTAAAATGGCTTTCATCATACTTACACGACCGTTCTTTTTATGTAGTCGTTAATGGGTTTAGTTCTTCAACCAATCTGATAACGTCAGGTATACCTCAGGGCTCACATCTTGGCCCAATATTGTTTAATATATTTGTAAACGACATTGTTTCTTGTTTTGAAAACTCCACACCATACTTATATGCCGATGATTTGAAAATAACGAGAACAATTTGTTCACCAATTGAATCGATTTTATTATAGAACGATCTAGATAAACTAAGCAATTGGTGTAAATCTAATGGCATGAAACTCAACTGCAGTAAATGTCTTCATATTAAATTTACTAGAAAAAATAATATTACCCCAACGACATATAAATTGTACGGTAATAGTCTTAAGGAAGTTGAGCTCGTGAAAGACTTGGGTGTTATACTTGATAAAAAATTGACTTATCTTTACCACATAGAAAGTGTAATAAACAAACCTTTTAAATTATTAGATTTTATTTTGCGACAAGGTCGAACTTTTAAAGAAGCTAAAACAAAAGTCTGTCTTTACAACAGCCTTGTCCGCAGTCACTTAGAGTACTGTAGCGTTGTATGGCGTCCACATTATTCTACACACTACTTAAGACTGGAGCGTGTTCAGAAAAGATTCATGTGGCATCTATCATACTCAGCGAAGATTAACAAAACGGTGGTGTCCTATAAAAAAAGTCTAAAATACTTTAATATCATGACTCTTGACCAAAGAAGAGATTTGTTAGATTTAATGTTTTTATACAAATTACTAAGAAATAAGTTAGACTGCCCCAGTTTACTAAGTAAAATTAATTTTCGAGTACCACGCAGATATCCGCGTACTGCGATTACTCCGGTCATGCCTCCACACACCAGGACAGTCTTCGGCGCCAACTCCACAATCCCTCGTTTATGTAAAATATATAATAATTTCAGTAAGTTAATTGACATCAACATTAATTCGCCTAATACCTTTCGTAAATTCATTATCAGCAGCCTAGTTAGCCAGTCATCCTGAGTGTGATTTTTTTCTCATATTAATTATTACGTATATTTTTTCTTTTAAATTCTAATAATATATATTTAGTTGGGCTAGATTATGATAGTTGTTAAATTAAGTTGTAATTTCAATTGACAGACTAATTATTAGTGTATTAAATCTCTTTTGTTGTTTAAATTGATAAGGTTTTACAGGCTTTTACCAAAATTACTATTGTGTTTTTTTTGTTTGTTTCTGATTTTATTTTATTTTTCTGTTATTAACTTATTTCAGATTTATACACTAATACTAGGAAAAATAGCATAAATCGATCATCCGACCTGTCGTCATGTATGGAAGTGAATGCTGGGCCGTCAAGAAGAAGGATGAAAATAGACTGCATGCGAATGAAATGAGAATGTTACGATGGATGTGTGGTGTGACAAGGATGGATAAGATAAGGAATGAGTATATAAGAGGAAGCCTGAAAGTAGCGCCAGTGGTAGAAAAGGTGAGAGGAAGCAGATTGGCATGGTTTGGGCATGTGATGCGGAGGGATGAAAGTCATGTCACAAAACGAGTGTTGAATATGAATGTGGAGGGACACACGGGCAGAGGAAGGCCGAATAAAAGATGGATCGATTGTGTGAAGAGTGATATGAGAATGAAAGGAGTAAGTATGGAAATGACGGCTGATAGAGAGGAATGGAACAAGAAGATTTACTGCGCCGACCCCAGATAATGGGAAATGGCTTAGAGAATGATGAGAATGATGATGACTAGGAAAAATAGCATGTAGTGTTTACCTTTGAATGATTTTACATACTCTGTGCAAGTAATATGGTAATTATACTTTAAGAAATGTATGTAACGTAAGTATTGTAAAATCGCTGGTAGACCCAATAAATAAATAAAAAAAGTATCAGAGCACCCCACTATCCACGTGGTCTTGTCTGCCCTATCCCTATAGTGTATATAAGAGCTCGGAGGCGCGGTGGGAGAGCAGTGCCCGCCCGCCGTAGTAAAGCGCCGGCACCGAGATTGCTGTAGCGGCTGAGGCTGATCGCCGAAGGCGACCAAAAAGCCGAAGCTGCGAAGGCAAGCTCAGGTGCTGCGCTTTCCTACGCTAGGGTGGAGGGACTGCTCCTCCCGCAGCGCCGGAGTTGCCACGGAGCGCCGGAGCACGACTTCCCCGCTTCTAAACCCCCCCCACCTCACTTCCCCCGCTTCGAACCCCACCACCCCACTTCCCCGCTACTAACCCCACCACCCCACTTCCCCCGCTAGTAACCCCCCCTCCTCCCATAAGCCCCACTCTTTTGTTCATTTAATCTAGTTTATCTTACCCCTCCCCCCAACCCTCCCTCCCCTAAAACCTCATTTATCGATGGTCCATATTGGAAAGTTAAAGTCTCCAAAATTAACGAAATGTACTCGATACCAAGTAGTATTGATACTTTTGATGCGATACTTGGTATCGAGTAGGTATCGATACTTTCAAATTTTTCGGAACCCTACACTAATTGAAACGTGAAGTAATTGACCATGAAGGTTAGAGAACAGGAGAACGATCACCGTAGAAAATAGTGTCCAGAAATATGGACACGCACAATAAAATATTTCTCCATTTTTTAAATTTTCTTTATGTCAAAAATTACAAAATTACGGAGCACGAAAAATTTTTCATTACAAATTAAATGAAAATTTGTACATTATTCAACTAACTTCATCTACTTGTACTCATAAACAGCTAACTTCGCAGTTAGTACTCACCGACGTCAACGCCGCTATACATTCTAAAATTTTCAAGGACAGGCGGGCTATGCTTATACACAAAGTAATGAGAGTATGCTTATAGTATGTAGTGATCGTTCTCCTGTTCTCTAACCTTCATGTGTTTGAATAATTGATTATTTATCAAATTTATTTTGTAATTGGGAAAACGCGGGAACCTTGAAACGTAATAAGTGCCTTTTTTAAATTAAAATTTTAATTTTGTTTTGTTTAGTTAAAAGGCACTAAAGTTTTATTGTTTTATCGTTACTGGGTTTCCTCATCATGGGGACACGTAGAAAAAAAAGTTGCCAGGAGAAGAAGAAGTCTTTGAAGAAACGACTGAGGAGGAAAAAGTTGACACCAGTACTGAGGAAGATTCTGAGAAAGAGCAACGCAAGTATAAGCCGTACTTTTATCTGACTACAACAGGAGGTACCCTGAGGACTCTGTCCTCGTTGATTTTGTTGTCTTTGTCGAATCAAATGATGAAAGAAGGTCAATCGGGACATGATGTCTCAGTCCACACATATGAAGAGGTTCAATAAAGGCATTAAATATTTGCAATCTATGAATAAATACAAAATAGGCGTTCATTTTGAAAAGCCCTCTCTAGCGAATGCATTTTTAAATAACGTTACATTTCATGAACACAAAATGAAGGCATCTATCCCAGCTGTAGGGACAAAAATAACAGGAGTCATAACTAATGTTCCCACTAATCTTTTTAATTCAAGAACTTTTGGTATGTTAACGACTTACAGGAAGATAATATGTGTTAAAAGGATAATGAGGAAACATAAGAATGACGCAGGATGCAATTTCATGCATCCGACAGGCACCGTGGCCATTACGTTCGGTTCTAATGTTTTTCCGGACCACGACGATCTCCGTGGTTGGCAGTTCGTGGTAAATCAGTATATTCCACCTGTGAAGCAGTGTTATAATTGTCTGAGATATGGCCACTTAGCAAAGTATTGTAAAAATTCTGTGAAATGCTCAATTTGCACTGAAAATCACAGCTACTCATTTGCTCATTAAAAGTATTAAAACAAGTTATTAACGATATAGAAATCGCGAAAGAATGACTGGAGGACGCACTAAATGTACTGCTTTGATAAACCAAGTTTTAGATCCGTATTCAATGGAACTTGTGCCAGAGGATTTGAAGAATGAAGTTCCGTTCTCCACGCTACCGATGCTTCTATTAAAGGAAACAGAAAATTCTTTTCAGTTGCGATTCAATATTTTTTACCAAAAGACGGTATTTGTCATAAAATTTTGGACTTTTACGAGGACTCTTTCGAAGATTCACGATCTATTTAAGAAAAATTATGTCAAGTGTTGGAACATTCATAGCTACCATGGAGTAGAGTAACAGCATATGGAGCGGACAATGCCTCTGTTAATTTCGGACTTAATATTTTAAAATTATGAAATAATAGCTGCTCACTGCAATAATCACATATTTCATAACTGCGCAAAAATGATTTCAAAATAATGCCTGTTGATGTCGAAAATATAGTAATGAAAGTAATTGCAGAATTTAACTCTGCCTGCAACAGGAAGCACGGGCAACTAACTTTGTCAATGCTTTTTGTTGCTGCCAGTCCCAAGCCCGGAAAAGAGAAGGGAACGATTCCGCCGGAGAGAGTGGGAGTATCCGGTGGACTAACACACCCAACTGCGCTAAGACCTGCGCAGTTGAGCGCCGTATGCGGGGATGAAGGAGTCCTTGAGGGTTGAGCCGATCGTCACTGGGGTATATAGTGTCGAGAGGCAACACGCCCTCTTTGGTCCGGATTTCAAACTAAACGATGGCCTTATCTGCTAGCCACAGATAAGGAAATGGCCAAGCGTCCCGTCAGAGGGTCGCAGGCGAGGGATGTGGGGGCTGCCTAGTCTCCCTGAAAAGGTCTAGGTGGTGGTAAAGGCCACGCTGACGGGGCAAGTGAAAGTCAACTCGGGCAGTGGGGATGGGCCTTTTCAGCCCTATCTGCCAGCTGGATCTAGCTCCCGATGTCGCGCTGTGAGCGAACTCTGCGTCCCTATATTCCCCGGTAATCCGAACGCCCGAAATTCTTTTAATGGGCTCCATGGAGGGTGAGAAGCCGGGGGGACGAATTATTACACATGTCAAAAACTATGGACAACATAAGGCTCATTTATAGAGAGGGAGAAGTGTCAGAGGTGTTTACCTTAGACATTGATAAACCAGAAGGAACCGCCGTTAAACCGGCCGTTCCACTGACTGTACCACCCAGCGTAGGTGGCCCCACCAAGGGGGCAATTTCCGCGCTGGATGTCTCTAAATCCAGTTCCAAATCCAAGGAACTGGACGAGGAAAATGAGCAAGGGGGCGCGAGTAGCAAAACTCCTGCGGAGCCCCAAAGTACCGAAGACCTTTTCTCTGCTGCCTGGAAAGTGGTGAGCCGTAAGGGGAAGCGCAAGGCACCCAAAATGGTGACTTGCCGACCCGACGGATCATGAGGTGGGTCTATCCCAGCAGGCAGTAGTGCAAAGGTCAAAAAGAATAATAAGAAGCAGCGAGAAAAAGGCCGCAGAGAAAGAGCCACGCTCGCTGCTTCAAAGAGCAAGACTCAGGGAGCTGGGCACGCTACTGCTACTGCGGTGTTTGGGGCTGGAACCAGTAGTCGTGCTGAAACTGGGAAGAATGAAAATCCAGCCCGAGCAGTAGGCACGCCCGCCGGAACCAGCTCTAAGAAATCCGCCAGGAACCAGAGAGCAGCCAAGCATCCTGGAAAGAAGGAAAGTGCAGCCAAAAGAATGCTGGAGGAGTCCACCTCGCCGCGAGGAGAGCACAAAAAAGTGCGACTTGAACAGCAACCAAAGGCTGCAAAAACAAGCTACGCTTCTGCTGCTAAAGCAGATTTGGGTGTGGCCTTAACGTGTGCGCGTTCAGATCACATAACAAAGGAGGTAGCTGATGACATCCTCGTGGCTATACAGAGGAAGATGATCAGCGAGGCCTGGAGTAACCAGGACCCTGATGCGTCGGGCCCGGTTTTTAGAGGCAAACCCGTTAACACGGAGGGTGTCCCAAAGCTGTGGTGCGATGACCAGAAGGCTCTAGCTCTGAAGGGGAATATTAATACTCTCTACCTCAAATCCAACACCTCGCTGACTATTAAGAAACAGTCAGAGATACCAAAAAGAATCGAAAATGGTATCCTTATCCCTGATGTCCAAGGTGCCTGGAGGGACTCACGTGACATTGGTCGTGTGCTTGCGTACCAGAACCGCTGGGTAAACATCAAGGACTGGCTACTACTCAAAGCGGACAAACAGACGGACGGGTGGTTCCTCGTGGTTTCGATGCCGGAGGATCATATCCCGACCCTGATGAAAGCCGGGCGCCGTCTCGCATGTGTATGTGGAAAATTCGTTGATTCCCCACCTAGCAAAGAGGCAGAAAAGAACCCGGAAGTCATGGATACCGTGGCCATGGTTGCCGGTACATCGAAATCACTGGATGTCAAGTCCAGTGAAAAAACGGCCTGCACAACCGAGCCGAAGCCCCCAGTGGAAACTGAGCACAGCGGCAGCTCACTGAGCGACGAAGAGGACTGCATTTTGCCGTCCAATTCCGACTCGATGGCTGACGGTGAGACCCGAGATCTGCTGGCAGGCTTATTTTTAGGCGGGGACGGGGATGACGCGATCGATGATGGCGTGCCCTTCGTCCAAAACTAGCCTAGTGCAGGCCAACCTCCACCACAGTGAGAGACAGCGTCGGCTCAATTATGCCTCCAACCACTTGCGTGACGACGGCCATAGCCCTAATCCAAGAGCCATGGGTTGGGGCTGGTAAAATTAAAGGCCTATACAACCTAAGAGGTAAGTTATTCTACAACTCTGAGCACGACAAGCCTAGAGCGTGTATTTATACTACTAAAGATATCTGTGCAAAACCACTAACAGATTTCTGTTCCAGAGACATGTATGCCATAGCATTACAAAACACACAGGAGGAAAGGTTAGTCGTCGCCTTGATCTACATGCCTGAGGAAGACACCCCTCCTCCTCACGAGCTAGTCAGGCAGGTGAACTTCTGTGAGAGGGCCGGACTAGAGGTTGTGATCGGGACGGACTCCAACGCGCATCATCTCCTTTGGGGAATGGAAAAACCTAATTAACGAGGTAAGGTTTTAGTTGAATATTTATTTAGCACTAACCTACCATTTTAAACACTGGTTCTGAACCAACCTTCATAAAAAAACGCTGTCGCACAATAATCGACCTCACACTTGCAACAGAAGGAGCAGCAAAACTAAAAACGGGATGTCATGTGTCGAAAGAGGCCTCATGCTCAGACCACAGATGGATCTGCTGCGTACTACAGGTCGATATCCCCGCTATAGTAACATGGAGAAATCCCCGCAAGACGGATAAAACAAAATACCTCAATAGGCTGACGTCTTCACTCGCGGGTGTTGGGGGAACTAATACCATAGCAGATCACGATTGATCTGCTATGGTATTAGAAGAACAGGTAGCAGCTGTCACTAAAGCCATGATCAATAGCTACCATGAATCATGTCCAGTAATCACTCCACCAAAACATGCTGAGCAAAAGCAACAGTTTTGGGGTAAATAACTAGACAGGAAACGTAAGAAGGTAAGAAAAGCCCTAAATAGGGCAATGAATACCTCAAAGGACGAAGACTGGCTTCTATATAAGAAAGCTAAGTCTGAATACAAAAAATGTATCAGGTATCGACGATCAACAGGGTGGCGCAAATTCTGTGGTAGCATAGAAACCTGTGAACAAGCAAATCGGATAAGGAAAATCCTAGCTAAACAGAACACGCCGGGAACTATCTCTTTAAAGAAACCTGACGGAAGCTACTCAACATCGCCAGATGAAACCCAACGCATCCTAATTGATACTCACTTCCCAGGTTGCTGTGTGGTTGAAAGTTTGAACCGGCATGAAGATGCACTGACACCAACAAAAGAAGACTGGGAATTAAGCACAAAAGAGTGGTGACGATGGACAAAATCCATTGGGCCATTCATAGTTTCCAACCCTATAAGGCAGAAGGACCTGACGGCTTATTCCCTAATATAAATGTTAGTTGCACTGAATTTAAAGATGCCACCTCAGGCAATAAGACTTTATTAAAAGCAGTCTGGTCGAATTCTAAATATTATATAAAAAAGTAGAATTGCTGTAGTTCAGTAAGTTTCCAGTACACAAAATACATTATTTTTGTTTTTTTTTTTGTATTAAAGTACATTTTTGTAAGAAATAAAAACTATTCCGGTTTTTTCTTTGAACACATCTGGCATCCCTATTTGCGCGGCGTGATGAGTATTTTAGTGTTTCTCATTTTGTGGTGAATGTTATATTTGAATGAATCATATTGAGTGTGATTTTATATATTAATATACATGTGTTATAGATGTATAATTGTTTGATGTTTAGTAATTTCGTCTCATGGTATATTGTTTTTGTCGAAGTTAAGAAATTGTAATTATATAAAAAATTTATTAATTTATTTTGCAGTACTTGTACCTTTTGTAG